TAGGGAACTGGGTGGGGTATTGTGTGGAAAGAAATGGTCAGTGAAGATGAAAGGGAGGGTATATAAAGCATGTGTGAGAGCAGCGATGATATATGGTGGTGAAACTTGGGTGTTGAGGAGAGAGGAGGAAAGTGTACTGCAGAGGGCTGAAAGAGCTATGGTGAGGATGATGTGTGGGGTTAAAGTGAAGGATAGGAGGAGTAGTACAGAGCTGATGTCAATGATGGGACTGAATGAGGACATTGTGACATTGATAAGGAGATCGAGATTGCGGTGGTATGGACATGTGTTGAGAAGGGATGAAAGGGTCGGGATTAGGCGAGCGTTGGAGTTCGAGGTTGAAGGAGTGGTAGGAAGGGGTCGTCCGCGATTGGGATGGAGAGAGCAGGTGGAGAAGGACAGGGTGAAAGCGGGGTTGCGTGATACTGAGGCGAGTGACAGATGTGGATGGAGTCGAGGGGTATTTCGGTTTCATCATAGGTAGCCAAACGGCAACCCCCGATCTCGGAGAAAATGCCGTCTAAACGTGTGTTTGTTTTGTTTTTTGTTTTATTTTATTTTATTGTTTTTTTTTATTCTTATTTTTGATATTACTTTCTTTGCAAGTTCAGAAAGAGAGAGAGAGGAGAGAAAGAGAGAGTACAGTTGAATTTTTAGGAATTACACTATATAAATACAAATTAATTGAAATATCTTTCCTTGTTAAATATGACCAGCATAGCCCAGTGCCCACAGAATTTGCTTTATTTCCCTTTTTCCAATGTTTGAATGGTCTATTATTTTTATTTTAACATAAACGTCATCAAATTTAACTTTCAATCTTGTTTGCGTTATTTTATATATATATGTGTGTGTGTGTGTGGGTGTGTGTGTGGGTGTTTATGGGGATGTCATTCTCAACCTATGCATGTCTGAGACAGACAGACAGACTACTATCCACACCACAGACGAACTCACGCCATATGATCAATGAGTTTCAGAGAGCAGGCATTCAAACCATACCATCTTTTCATAACAGCTTAAGACAGTGTTTTCCAACCTCTTTTCTTTAGGGGAACCCTTTGGTGTTGTCAGTTTTCTCGCGGACCCCCTGCGAAAGGTTCCGCAAGGGCCCGCGAGGAAACTTCTGCCGTCTGAGCAAACTCGCCGATTTTAATTATTGTTAAAATTCAATTCGACGTAAGTTTTTTCCACAGAAATGTGATGAACTTCAAACTAATTAAACATTTTGTCGACTGACCAGTGATCAGAATCTTTCATCCGCTTGTCAATTGGCTGAACGTGTGCAGCCTTCATCGAATCATTCATCTTTGCTAATGTACGTTACAAATTAATACACTTCTTGTCTTGTATGTCTGACTGAACGTGTGTGAGTGGAGGTATCTCATGAAGGTTGTTTTAAATACAATTTATCATCATTAAATTTACGCATGTACTTGAGAACATACATACACGCAGCTGATATGTTTGTGTGCATGTGTATGTAAAAACACAAACATACGCGCACACATACAAATTAATACATATACATAATAATGTATATATATGTGTGTGTGTGTGTGTGTGTTTGTTGTGTGTGTGTTTTTGTGCGTGTGTTTCTGTTTGCACATATTACGAAAGTGAATCGGTATAAAAATATATCAGAGAGTATACTCGCACATCATAACACAATACGCAACTGCAAAGTTTCATCGCCTTTGTATGATGGCTTATCTTAGCAACTCTTTAAACTTTACCTTTATACATATTCATTAGTAATGCATGTATACATACATGCATATGCATACATACACACACATATACACACATACATGAATACATACATACAAACAAACAAATATATGCATGCAACACACAAACATTCGTTTACATATACACTCATACATAACCTTATATATGTTTTGTCTATAAAAATGTATTCAAAACGTGCGTGTCATACATCAATTAATCTACATTATTATAAAAATTAATATACAGGTAGTTATTATTAATTAATTCATATTTTAATTACTTTATTTATTATTTATATAACGCAAAATATTTTTCCTGAATAAAAATCTGTGTGATTTGTATTTTTAAGATTTTTCTTCTTTCTCGTTTGTATAAAAAATGCAATAATTCTTTCTAGGAGAACTATGTGTTAGATTTGTTTTGTTGTATTGGTGGGTATTTAGATAGTTTTAAAAATCTATATGTATATATATATAAATATATATATATATATATATGATTTATACATACATGGTTTAGTATTATATATGTATAATTATATATATATATATATCATATAATTTGTTTGTTATATGTACGTATATGTTTTTTTTACTTATGTTAATATTAACATTGTTTGAGAACATGATTTTGATGGTGATGATGATGACGGTGATGATGTTTTTATGAATAAGAAGTTATTGTTATTGTTTAGTGTGTAAATATGTATATATATATATATATATATATATATATATATATATATATATACGCTGGATATATATATATATATGTATATATATATATATACATATATATATATATATATACATATATATATATATATATATATATACGCTTGGATGAATGAATGATGAACAGATGGATGCATGGAATGGTGGAAAGCAGTTGATTGTGTTGCTTGTGTAGAAGTTTCGAGAACTTTTATTCCAGAAGTAATGAAAATAATTACGTAGTTAATTAGAATTTAATAGGATAAATTGTTAATTAAATAGTTAATAAATGGATTTTTAAAATTTGTTACACCTTTATAACCTAGCTAAGTTGCGTATGTAAGATCTGGTTTCTGAACAATAACGTTGTTCTGAAGGACTTATTAAGTTATTTCACTATTTATCTTTAGTTCGCTTCTTTCTAAGTTTGTACTAACTTAAAATGAAAGACTTTGGATAAAAAAAAGTTTATAATTAATCACAGTAATATTAACTTGCAAATAATTTCCTCAGTAGTTTTTTAATCCAAATTATTTTCCTGATAACCTGGAATAAATTTCTCAAAAAATTCTCGGATAAAAACAGCTCACCACGTCCCATCATAGTTCAGAAGACAGCATGATCTTTTCCAACTGATTCTCTCACACAATTTTGCCACAAATTATTTTCGATTAGTTCGTAAATCTCCACAGGAATAAAAAAATGGCGAAGAATAAGGAAGAGGACTACTCGGTCTCAGACACCATCTGCTGCGTTCGTTTCATTTTTTTCTTAATTTATTACAATTTTTGTCGTTAAGAAATTATTTGATTTCAGTTTGTTGAGATTTCTAAATAGTAAGATAGCAGAATTATTAGAATGTTTGTAAACTCTTGAAAGAAAAAATAATTTTAAACCACAAACGATCTAAACGGCATGACATACAAACGTCTCAGCTTTTAATATATTCAACGACTAGAACACACGCACAACTGTAACGCACAATTTCGAAGGCACAGCCGCAAAAACGCATCTGCAAACATAACAATCAATCACAAACTACACAAATAAATATCGCGAACAGGATGACATGATATGTCTGAACTGCACTCCATCCAACCTTGGAAAGGAGGCCCATTCGAACACGGATCGTGTCTGCCTAGCCGCAGAAGGTTTTGGAAACAGGACTTGCTTCCTACAAAATATGTCTAATAAGGTCTGTAAATACTTTTTTTTTAATAAATTTTAATAAAATGTTTTGAAATTTTAAATTAATTTTTTATTGTAATAATTTGAAAAATTCTAAATCAAGGTAAAACTAAATAAAATTATATTTATGTTTAATTAGGACCTACCTTTCGATATTTCCGTGTGCGTGTTTGTCTTGGAGCAAGCTCTGTCAGTCAGAGCTCTTCAAGAAATGGTGTCTGCTAAGAACCAGGAAACTGTACGGCTATTCTTTGTATTATTATCTTTCAGTGTTATCATCAATCAAAAATAAATCGAATATTTTAAGTTTTTTAACCATTTTCGTTCAGTATTTCATCGGTGTATTCGTTTGTTATTGCATCATTAGTCACGTGTAAAAACTACATGTTAAATAATATTTCTTGAAAAGTGATTTTTTAAACTTTCACCGCCAGAGTGGTCAGTCGTCAGGTCACCGAACGTTACTCTACGGACATGCCGTCCTGCTGAAGCACAGTCACAGCAACATGGTGATTACATTTTTCATGATAATGTTGGTGATAATGATGATGTTTCTCACGATAAAGATAATGATGAAAGTGATGATATTGCTGGTGATAGTGCTGATGATGTTTCTATTGAATAACAGTGACGACAGAGTAATGTTAATTTTGACGATAATATAGAGGATGATGATGAAGTTTGTGACGAAGACAACGTTGTTATGAAACATTATGATTAAACACGCTGATGATTACAATAGTGACAAGGGTGGTGGTGATGAAGACGATGAAAATGATAAAGAATATTATATAAAAAATATTAATCCGTGTTATCTTAATGCTATCAATATTAAACTATTTTAATTAATTAATTAATTATTAATTATATTATTATTAATTAATTTTTTCATTTCAACTCGTACCTCTCAGTATTTATCTTGTCTCTCCACGCAAAGCTCATCTAGTGACAAACTGGCCTTTGATGTCGGCCTCACACTTACCACTGAAGGTACACACACACACACACACCCACAAACACACACACACAAACACACACACACACACACACACACAACACACATACACAAACACACATACATGCACACACATAAACACACATACACACACAACTCATACACACACACACACACATATACATATATATATATATATATATATACATATATATATATATATATATATATATATATATATATATATATTAAATTCTGGTTATTTGTATACAAAAAATATTATCCCATTTGCCAGGTGAATCATGCTGGTGGACAATCCATCCAGCCTCGAAGCAGAGATCTGAGGGTGAAAAGGTCAGGGTCGGTGATGACCTCATCCTTGTCAGTGTGGCTTCCGAAAGATATCTCGTAAGTAGCGTGAGTGGGCACGTGATATTCATGGTGATGATGACGTGTGGCGTGTTTATAGTGAAGTAAAGATGATAATAATGACGTGATGGAACTGATGATTGTTTTACTCGTTCGCGATTAAATTATTAACGCTGGTTAATTGTCACAATTTCTAGTTAATGCAATTTTAAACGTTTAGTGTTTTTATTCAAAAGTTCCCAAATAATGTGGTCGCGTTTGTTAATGTTATGAATATCATTTTTTTTTTATTTTCATTACCATCGCCACCATCATCGCCACCATCATCGCCACCATCATCGCCACCATCATCGCCACCATCCTCTGCAGCACATCGGGGCAGATTGCCAGGTCATAGCCTCCTTCCAACAGACTCTTTGGACAGTCCAGCCGATCAGCTCGGGCATCGTTAGACAAAAGTCCATGGGTCCGAGTTTTAGATTTCAATTTCTGTCAATATTTTTTAATAAAATTAATTTAATGATGTTTTTATGAATCAAATTAAATTAATTTATCACCATTTTGTCAGTTTATCTTACTTAAAAAAAGTATAAAAATTTAACCAACCAATCATTCAACCAACCAATCATTTCAACCAACCAATCATTTCAACCAACCAATCATTTCAACCGACCAATCATTTTAACCGACCAATCATTCAACCGACCAATCATTCAACCGACAAACCAGGTCACGTGCTCGGTGGTGACGTTTTGAGGTTGTTCCATGGCGACGAGTGTCTGACGATTCCTGTCAGGGAGGTTGATACAACGCAGAGGTGAGTGTTGTTGCTGGTTTACTACGTTGTTGTCGTTGTTGCTGTTTTTGTAATAATGTGTTGTTGTTATAGCTTTTTTTGTTGTAATTAATGTTGTTGTTGTCGTTGTAGTAGTAGTTGTAGTAGTAGTAGTAATAGTTGTAGTTGTTGTCGTTGTTAATGTTTTGGCGATGTTTATGTGTATTTGTTGTTTTTTTAATGTTTCAGTATGTTGTAGTTGTTGTAGTTGTTGTTGTCCTAACAATGGAAAATAATGAAGTTTGGTATAAAAATTTCATCAATTCGCATAAGCGATACATTTTTGCATAGCTCTCTTTTACTAGTTGCATTATTTTGTATTCAGATTGGTCACTATTCATTCATTTTCATAACTTCAGTCTGTCACACACACACACACACACACACCACACACACACACACACCACACACACACACACACACACATCATTTTAATTTACAGACCAGAGGAAGATTACGAAAGGTAGGTTGTCTGTTTGATTTTTTTGTGTGTATTGTTAAACACCATCTCGAAAAACTAGTTTCATATTGTGTGCTAACAATTTTGTTTGTAGTTTTGGTTCATATTTTGTGTTAATTTTGCTTCGATAATTCTTCAATTTGTTTCACATCGAAACTTGAATGCAACATTGTTTTACTTTGGTACACTTGGTCCTCCCATGCTTCAAAAATCGTACGGACAAGCAAGTTTCCGAATGCATGTTACATCAACCCTAGTTTTTTTCAAAATAATTATTACAATTACCATCAAACTATACCATAAATGTAATGACACCATATGAGACAAAATATCAAAAAGTAATAATCATTTGTCACCATTATGACGATGTGAAATGTTTATCTTCCGTCAAACTGAAATGTTTATCTTCCGTCAAACTGGCAGCACCGTCATGTACGAGACGGGCTCGGTAGCATCTCACGCAAGATCCCTCTGGAAGCTGGAACATATCAGGACTAAGTAAGAACTCGTACTGTTCATGAAATAACAATATTAATAATAATAATATTGACAACAATTATTAATATTTTTATTATTATTTGTATTATTGATTACCGCTATTACCGTGTATTTATCATAAATGTTGAACTGATTAGCACACAACAACCACATGACATTACATCATCAACTGACCGCCAAACAACTACCACACGACATTACATTATCAACTGACTAGCACACAAAACACGCACTTCATAGCATTATTACTGTCACAGAACAGATGAAATATATCACATAAAATTATCAACTATCATATAGCGTATAGAATATGCATTATTTGCTATTGCTAACATTACTGATTTATTACACTCCATTACATTACTACATTACACTCCATAACACTCCATTATAGTACATTACACTATATCACACTCCACATTACACTACATTACATTAACACATTACACGCCATTACACTTTATCACACTCCACACTACACTCCACATTACACTCCACATTACACTAAACACTCACCTGCATCCATCCAACCTATCCAGGTGGGCTGAGGCATGTATGGGCTGGAACCAACCGTGCCGTCTGCGTCACGTGACCACGGGCAGGTACCTGGCCAGCACCCCCGACAATCAGATCGTAACCTACCACAAGGACTTGTCCACTGAAGATGCCACTGCCTTCTTTCTTAAGCAGTCTAAAATGGTCGGTGCTGTCTACCTCTATGTGATTGTTTGTTTGTTTTCGTGTGTGTGTTTGTATTTCTTTGTATTTCTTTTTGTGTGTTTGTTTGTGTTTGTTTAGATGAATATTTTGTGTGAGTTTTGATCACACGCTTTAACATTAAACCAGTTAAACCAATATTTTCTTTTCATTTTTCAAACATTTAACAGATCAAAATCTATCTATATTTTAAATTTTTGAAAATTAACTGTATTGATTTTTTTTTCTCTGCGTAGGACAAAGATGACAAAAAGTTATCTGAAGGTCACGAGGCGGAGGGCATGGGGTCTGCCCAGATAAAATACGGCGACTCACTCGTCTACATCCAGCATAAGAAAACTGGTTGGTTCCGCGTGTGTGTGTGTGTGTGTGTGTGTGTGTGTGTGTGTGTGTGTGTGTGTGTGTGTGTGTGTGTGTGTGTGTGTGTTAGGTTTTTACGTTGGAGAGTTAGTTTTCATATAACCATGGGTGTAATGGCGATCTGTAACTGAGTTAATTAATATTATTATTTGTTAGGAATATGATATAAAATGCATAGATGTGGAAGTTTTAAAAGATAATTATGAATATAAATGATTATATAACTATAATAGCAAAATAATTTTTCTGCTTATCTAGGCCTATGGCTCTCCTACCAAACATTTGAAACAAAAAAGCGGGGTGTTGGAAGAGTAGAAGAGAAAAAAGTACGTGCTTTCTATACTTTTTAAAACAATTTAAACATTCAGTTTTTCAAAAAAACAAACAAACAGTGCATATTATAATTAACTACCTTTGATAACGAATAATGCATGCAAACTGGAAATTAACATAAAATTTCCAAATTCAGGCCATTTTGATGGTGGAAGGTCATATGGACGATGGTTTGACCTTTTTAAGGGCCCAGGAAGAAGAAAATAAATCTGCCCGCGTCATCAGGAAGTGTGCATCACTCATCACAAGATTCGTAAAGTATGTTGGTGCTAGTGGAATGGTTATTTAATTGGTTGGTTGTTGAATGTTTGCTTGATTAGTTGCTCGATTGAAAATGTAGTTTGTCGGTTGTAGTAACCCAGTTTACCGGTCAAATAACTAACTAGATGCCTAAAATAGATTTTGTCTTATATAAATAAACGTAATTAGTTCTTACCAAATCATCAAACCAAGATTCATTAACTTTTGATCAACCATTAAACTAAACGTTAAATCCCCAAAAACCAACCAACTACTCACTCAACCAGAGCCCTAGAATCCCTAAAGACCGAGGGACGGGTGAGCCATCTCTGGGAAGACATCAGCCTAACGGAGGTCGTCAAAACTTTGGAAGATCTCATCGATTATTTCGCTCCACCCGGAAAAGATCTAGGTCAGTTCATGAATACTAATAAAGCCAGTTCATGAATACTAATGAAATCAATTTATGAATTTTAATGAGGTTAGTTCATGAATATTAATGAATCGTTGTTACACTAGTAGAGATTAATTTTTGATAAAGATAGAAATGAGAGTTGGATTGAAAATTATATCATTTTACTTGAAATGTCGTTGAAATAAAATCGTAATATTATATAAAAGTCTGCCATGAATGGTCACATTCTAAAGGTTTATAATGATAATTTTTATTAATACAATTAATAAATTAGATTTTCGAAAAGTTAAATCAAACTACGTGCATCAATCAATTTAAATATTATAATTTATAAATATACGAAAAATAAAAATGTGATTTACCAGATTTCGAAGAGAGGCAGATAAGATTGAAAGCACTTAGGAATAGGCAGGATCTCTTTCAAGAAGAAGTTTGTAGTGTTTGTGATTGTTTGATGGATGGATGAATGATTGGATGGATGAATGAATAAATGGATGATTTAATGGATGGAGGAAAAGATGATTTGGTAGACGAATAACACACACATAAATAACACACACACATATACATTACACACACACTTGCTTAAATACTTACATACGCACGTTTTTGATCATGCACACAAGTGTATACACATGTACGCGCACATACATACCGACACACACACGCACACACACACACACACACACACACACACACACAAACACACCTAGGGTATGATAACGTTGATACTTCAAACGATCGACAAATGCAGTCAGTGGAAGAGTATGAGGAGGTTGTCGCATCTGATCGGCGAGGAATCTGCTGCTGTCTGGAATGATATGATCAACTATCTCTATCTTCTGCTTGGTCTGTCCTGGAGATGATGAGGAAGATGATGGTGTGATGATGTGGAAGATGATGATTAAGAGGATGGTGTGATGATGTGGTGACGATTATGTGGCAATTGTGGGTGCGATTGCGGCGTTGGTGGCGATAATGTTCATTTTATAAATTGTATTATATTCAAGTTAAAATTACTACTTTGATTTTTATCATTTGAATTGTCATTGTTATATTTCAGAAAATAAATTTTGAATTTTTTACATGCACCAACCACAGCTGCTCTTATTCAGGGAAACCACAGTAACTGCACACAATTTGCATCATCCAAGCACATTGATTGGCTGGTGAGGAGGTTGGAAGGACAGGATTCGTCCAAAGGTTTGTTCTGTTTCTTACTTACTTGTTCTCTGATTGGTTGGGTGGGTTTGTAAATTTTTCTCTGATTGGTTAGCCGCGTTTGCCACTCGTTTTCTGATTGGTAGGTCGTATTATTTCTTGTTTGTTTTATTAATAAATTTTAGATTTTTTGAACGTTCAAGTGAAATACACGGTTATATAACTTAATTATTGATGAAACGTTGACCAATCAAACTTGTCAGTTTTTGTGAATTTCTAAAATGTTTTCAAAGTCATCAATTAACCGATGCAATCAACTTGATGATTGCTAATTGAAATGAACAACTATCTGCTGCTACAACACCAATCAGGCGTGTTGGACGTGTTGCATAGCGTGCTAATCGACAGCCCGGAGGCACTGAATGTCATAAAGGAACACCACATCAGCACCATCATCTCACTCATCGATAAACACGGAAGAGATCCCAAGGTGATGACGTCATCATGACGTGACGATTTTGATGATAAGAATGGTGGTGGTGAGGTGATGATGCCGATGATGTGATGATGGCTATTTTTATCGTCGTCATCATCGTCATCACCACCAAGGTGTTAGATGTTTTGTGTTCACTATGCATTGGCAACGGAGTGGCAGTGAGATCCAACCAGAACCTCATCATGGAGAACCTGCTGCCAGGGAAGGATTTGTTGCTACAAACTAAAGTTGTCGACTATGTTTTCAGGTTTGTCACCATCATCGCCATCATCTTCTTCATCATCATCTTCTTCATCATCGTCATCGTAATCAGCATGAACCCCAACATTTACGTGGGCAAGTGTGAAGGGTCAGCCATGTACCACAAGTGGTACTACGAAGCCGTCATTGACCTCGTTGAACAGGTGGTTACCCTTATTTACCATTTGGCATTTATTCGGCTTGGGTTGTATTACTTTGGTCGGTGCACATATATTTGTTATTATTCCAATTATTTTCATTTTCAATTTAGTTTTTTCAGTTCTATTTTAGAGTTCGTTATTTCTGTTATCATCTGCATCGATATCAACGTTATCCCAATATCCAGGTCACCCACTTGCCAGCCCGTGTTAGGATAGGCTGGGCAAATACAGAGGGCTTCGTACCCTACCCGGGTGGTGGCTCGCATTGGGGGGCTAATGGAGTAGGGGATGATCTCTTCTCGTACGCATTTGATGGCGTCTCCCTCTGGACAGGTATGTCAGATGTTAGGTTGATTGACATGTGGTTTGTTGATTGATGAAGGAAAGATTGAGAAATGATGAAGTGTCCGGCTCTGCGTTAGAGAGATCGGCTTGCTTTGAAAGGTCAGTTTAACGCGCACTGAAGCGAAACATGCGTTTTTTAACACGTGTGCTTGTGGATGTGTGCGAAATATTTTATGAATGAGCAACCAATCAATCTGTCAGCCAACCAACTCACTCACCAACCAACCAACTGATCAGGTGGCAAGCCCCGGTTAGCTCGTACATCTCACATGTCGCTTCAGAAGGGTGACATAATTGGAGTCTGCCTCGACCTTGACGTACCCCAGATGACCTTCACCATCAACGGCATACCCGTTAAAGGCTTCTTCAAAGACTTCAACACCACCGGAATGTTCTTCCCGGCAATCAGCATGTCCGCCAAAAGCAGGTTGATGATGATAGTGTTGTGATGGTGTTGTTGTTGATGACGATGACCATGACGTGATGCTACTGACGACGATGTGTAGCGTTGATAATGACGTCACCGTTGTCACCAATTTCGTAACCGTCACGGCAGCATACGATTCATGCTTGGTGGCGAACATGGTCGGCTGAGGTTTGGACCCCCGGACAGCCACTCCCCCGTCTGTGAGTCCCTCAAGCCCAAGGAAAAGTTGAAGATCGAACCCTGCTTCAATCTAGGAAATGTTCCTAAAGGTTCATCTGCTCAAACGATGTTTTACTTTTCGTTAAAAATTTAAGGTCTGCTATCAATTTTTGATAGAAATAAGTAAGAATTACTTGGGCATACCACCCTAGACTAAATAATTTTCTTACAATAATGTCATTTTATCTTTGTTTTCGTTTTATTTTCACATTATTTCATTATTATTTCTATTTATTATTGTCGTAATTATTATTTTTTAAGTATTTTTGGTACTTACGAAGGTTTGATAAGTGGGCCAGTTCAGTTGACTGAGCATTTAACGTTTGTTCCAAATCCTGTCGAAACATCACATGTGAGTCGTTGTTGTTGTTTTGTTGTTGTTGTTGTTGTTTCGTTGTGGTGTCAACGCGCCATCATCAATATCAGCATCATCATCAACAAGATGATCATTATCGCCATCATCATCGCCATCATCATCACCATCATTGCCATCATCATCACCATCATTGCCGTCATCATCACCATCATTATCATCATCACAACAACAACAAAAACAGCATCATCATCATCAAACCATCATCGTCACCATTATCATCATGATCATCATCACCATCGTCGTCGTCGTCAGGTAATGATACCAGCTTACGTTGAAAATGTGACTGAAAAGTTGGCAGAGAACCTTCACGAGCTGTGGACGATGAGCAAGATTGAGAATGGCTGGATCTGGGGCGAGGTGGGTGTTTGTTCACGTTTGTATTTGTTTGTTCATGTTTGTCTACGTTTGTTCATGTTTGTCTCTGTTTGTTCATGTTTGTCTCTGTTTGTTCATGTTTGTCTATGTTTGTTCATGTTTGTCTATATTTGTTTATGTTTGTCTATGTTTATCTTTGTTTGTCTATGTTTGTCTACTTTTGTCTATAGTTTGTCTGTTTTATTGTGATTTGTTTATGTTTGTTTGTATCTGTCTATGTTTGTTTAAGTTTGTTTGCCCGTTATTCGTTTGTTGATAGCTGTCAGCTATTTCACAATCTTCTTTACTATCATCATCACCACGACTATCATAATAATCACTATCATCATCACCATCATCATCAACATCATTTTCATCACAATCATCATCATCACTATCATCAACATCATCATTGCACCATCATCATCAACATCATTATCATCATCATCTTCGTAACAATCATCATTTTTTTCTTCATCCATCATCACCATCATTATCATCATCACCATCGTCGTCATCTTCTTCATCTCAACCATCGTCATCATCACAATGAGCAGAGGAGAGATGACCAGAGAAAGATCCATCCATGCATCATCAGCTACGATAAACTCTCCATTACGGAGAAACAGTACAACATTTCACTGGCTCAGGAGACTCTCAGGCTGGTTATTCAATTCTATGGTTCATGAGTTGTTGATTGGTTGGTTGATTGATTAGTTGGATGGTTGATTAGTTGGTTGGTTGACTAATTAATTGACTGATTGTTTGACTGATTAAATGATTGATTAATTAATTAATTGATCGATCGATATATTCATTCATTCATTTATTCACCGATGGATTAGTAGAGCTCTGATGAAATTTTTGGTTAATCGAATGATTGAATGTTAGAATGACATTTCATGGGTGTCAACAATTTTAATAACATTCGTAGCCCTGCAAGCAATAATATTAACAATAAAAAACGGTTTTAATAATATTAATAACATCACTAAGAACAAAAAACAACCAAAAAAAAACTAAAACATACAGGATGTTGCTTGCCCTGGGCTACCACATAACCTTCGACCCACAGTACACCAGCAACCATCGTCTTAAAACTCAAAAGCTCTCCGTTAAGTGAGAATTACTGGCTGACATGATTTACCGCGACACTAAGCCACACGACACTGTAGCAGCACGTGACGTAAACTACAACCACACATTAACGTTACCACACAAACTTCCTCCAAAAACACTCCACCACCTTACAACACCACACCACACAACAACAACCACAAACTACACGACCTGATTACCACACGACACCACACGACAAATCAACCACACACCACACAACAACCACACCACAAACACATCACACCACACCACACACAACAACCACAAACTACACGACCTGATTACCACACGACACCACACGACAGATCAACCACACACCAAACAACAACCACACCACACGACAGCTACACACAAGCGAACGGCTTCCGACCTGCGCCTCTAGATTTGTCGGGCCTAGTGATGAGTGAGAAGTTGAATGAGTTGGTGGAGGCCCTAGCGGAGAATACCCACAACGTTTGGGCCAAAGAGAGGATTAAACAGGGATGGACCTATGGACTGACCGAGGTTTTGATAGATGAGTGAATGGATGAATTGATAAAAGATTGAATGAATGAATGAATGAATGAATGAATGAATGAATGAATGAATGAATGAATGAATGAATGAATGAATGAATGAACGAACGAACGAACGAACGAACGAATGAATGAACAATTGAACAAATAAAAAAATTATTGAATGCATGAAAAGATGTCCAAATCGTTAGAGAAATAATTATCTGCTAAAAAATAAGATAGATTGTTGGTGAAATAATAAATTGCTGGATGACTAGATGTTTAAATAGCTAGGGGGTTAGAGTCAGCCAAAAAAAATTTATCGGATGATTTAGATTAATTTATCACTGTTAGTTTCTGTGTTTTTTATTGTTTCCAGTATTTTATTATTCGTGTTAGCAGCAAAAGTTTTATTACTTTTTTTACTTTTAGGATTTTTTCAACAAGAGATCACACCACCTCGTCCCGTACAGCAAGGTTGATGAAGTCATCAAGAAATCCAACAGGTCGGTCAAACTTAATCATTGTCGTTGTTTTTGTTATCATCATTTTTATTATCATTTGATCTTGCGATATGTTTGATTTTTATATAACATCATTGTAATATCGTCACCTCGGACGAGGTTAATTTCTGTTAGCTGTCTTGATTGTCTTTTTTATTATCATCATCACCATCGTCATCTTCATCATCATCATTATCATCATCATTATTATTATTGTTATTGTTATTGTTATTATTATTATATGTTATATTATTATACATATATATTTTTAATTTTGATTATCATTGACATATATTGTTTCTTTCATTTCATGTATGTTTTTACGATGAAAATAAAAAGGTGTTCTCATTAGCGCGCCTC